GCTGCAGAGAATCAAGTCCAAAACGTGGTCAACAAAAACTATAAGTCCAATCAAGGCAAAATGAGGTAATTAGTGGGGCAGGGCAAGAGAAAGAATTCCAGATGTGAAGGAACAGTAATAATTCAACACGGTTGGGAAGACACCAGGAACACAGATAAGCAAAGTCAACACAAGATAAACTCACATTTGTTCCCAGCAGCTGCCACACTCAGCATGCATCTCTTTTAAACTCGCATTCCCAGGTGTGGCTGATGAAGGGAATCAGGGCCTTTTCCTCTCCCATAAGCCACACAACCCACGTTGCTCTCTTCTCCATTCCTCCCTGCGTGCCCTAGGATGAAGAGGGGGTGGGCCTGGGTCTTCCCTCTCCCTTGTTCTACCTCTTCCCTGCTCTGCCCAGCCAGACTTTGCCCTTCCTCGGTTTCCTCCAGAGCCAATGGAGCCACACTCCCACTCCCTGTCCGCTGTTCATCTTCCTCCTCGGATTCAGACTCCAACAGGGGCATGACACTGCCATTTGTCAGCAATGGTGTAGGGTCCCCTGCGTGGGTGGAGGGCTTGACGAGGTGACCTACAAGGTCCATTCCAACTCTGTTAATCTGTGATGATGATGGCTTAATGTGTCTTGCCAGTCCAGTTTCTGCTTCAATGAATAACCCAGAAAATGGACTAATGGCCTCAATATGTTCTCCTTGAGAGATTTGAGAGGACTTCTTTCTCATTTTGTCCACTGCAGTAGCTGTAAGATTGAGGTTGGTTGGTTTGAGCATGAATGCCTTTCTCGGTTGATGCGTTTCTCCTGGCTTCAGGCCACAGAACCCATCTTTTGCAAGCTGGCTCATGTCCTTCAGATGTTTAGGAATTATGTACCCAAAGCCATCTAAAAGCCAGGCTGGCTGAGAATGTTTGAGACCTACAGTCCCAAACTATTGCAAGAACGCCGACGTCATATTCCAAAAAGCTCTTCCCTTCAGTTGTGCATGCGGCTCTAAAACTGATGCTTGTGGGGTTATTTAAATAGATTGAGCTCATCCTTCTATATTGAGATGGACTTCCTGATAATAACACCATCATTGTGGATTCTCATAAGTGTGCCTCAACTTTGCAATGAAATAGGAGCTGAGGTTGTATACTCTATGTAGGAATCAAGCTACAGTGTGTAAATAGTTTGCTATGGTTGCCTCCTTTCAGGATGCTTTTGTAGAATAGAATAGAATAGAATAGAATAGAACAGAATAGAACAGAACAGAACTTTATTATGGTCTTAGACCAGCCATAGAGATCACTATTTACAATATATATATAAAAATACTGACACATTATAATATATTAATAGTGGATAAAAACATCCGTTAAGAAAATACATGCTTTCAAACAGTTCGGGGCACTCCCTGGTTTATATGAATGGAGAGCCAATAAGTATGTGTGTAAATATCATTTTCCAAAGATTGTTCTATCTCCCAAAATTGTCACACATTGACAGCTATAATTCTGTAACCCATTTTTTTTCTAGAAGACATTGCAGCAACACAGAATTTTGCCACTGCACGCCTAATCGCTGGGTTTGAATCCTGGAAGAGAAAGTCTAACATAAAAATTGTCTGCTCTCCCTGGCAATCTCTCTTATAAGGGGAGAATTTACAATGACCTATAAACTCTGCAAAACTCACAGTACCTAGATGCTTCTGTAACTTTCAACCTACTGTTCTCTGTCATTTCCTGGTTGTCTTTTATCTAACCTTAGCTTAGAGAGCCAGCTTGATGCGGTTGTTAAGGATAGAAAAACCAGGAAATGGGGAGGTTATATCCCACTCAGGCATAAAGCCAACTGGGTGATCTGGGGTCAGTCATGTTCTTTCCACTGTAGGAAGGAGGCAGTGGCAAACTACTTTTTAATTTAATTTAATTAATTAATTTTTTATTTTATTTGGTTTGTCAATTGCTTACAAGATAGTAGGTATAAGTTAAAACAGAGTTATGAATACATGGATACATATAAGAAAAATAAAAGAAACAATAGGACAGGGATGGTAGGCACGTTGGTGCGCTTATGCACGTCCCCTACAGATCTCTTAGGAAAGGGGTGAGGTCAATAGTAGACAGTCTAAGGTTAAAGTTTTTGGGGTTTGTGGAAGAAACCACAGAGTCAGGTAGAGTATTCCAGACATTGACCACTCTGTTGCTGAAGTCGTATTTCCTGCAATCAAGTTTGGTGCGGTTAACCTTGAGTTTGTATCTATTGTTTGCTCTTGTGTTGTTATGGTTGAAGCTGAAGCATTCATTGACAGGTAGGGCATTGCAATGTATGGTTTTATATACTATACTTAGATTGGACCGGAGGCAGCATAGTTCTAGATTTTCTAGGTCTAGAATTTCAAGTCTGGTGGCATAAGGTATTCTGCAATGGGTAGAGCAGTGGAGAACTCTTCTTGTGAAATATTTCTGGACTTTCTCAACTGTATTAATATCAGATACGTAATGTGGTTTCCAGACTGATGAGCTGTATTCGAGTATTGGTCTAGCAAATGTTTGTATGCTCTAGTTATTAGTGTAATATTACCAGAGAAAAAGCTACATAAGATTATGTTAACAACTCTTAATGCCTTTTTGGCTATGTAATTACAGTGGGCTCTAGCACTTAGATCATTAGAGATGAGAACTCCAAGATCCTTGGCAGAGTTTGGATTATCAACAAGGTCTTGACTATTCAGCCTGTATTTTATTTTCTGATTTTTTTTGTCAATATGTAAGACAAAGCATTTATTTGTTGAGATTTGAAGTTGCCATTTGTTTGACCATTCTGATACACAGTCAAGGTCTTTTTGAAGGGTAGCAGTATTGTCCGTAGTGTTGAATAGCTTTATATCATCAGCGACGAGAACGCAGTTGCTCTTAATATAATCACAGAGGTCAGAGTATGAAGAGAGTTGGTCCTAGACCACTGCCTTGGGGGACACCACTGATGACCGGTACAGAATTTGATAGGATGCTCCCAATTTTGACCATTGGTTGTCTGTTTGACAGGAATGCTTCTATCCAGTTATGCAGGTGTCCAGAGATACTTCTGAAGCAACTTGCCCTGAGGACTGTAGAGACAAGTTGCCAGGTGTCACTATTGACTCAAAGGCATAAAAACAAACAAAAGAAAGCTTGCTCAAGCTTTTTTTTTTTCTTCAGTCACGTACGCTCAGCCAAATACTATGATCTCAGAGGAAAGAGCTAAGTTGCATTCACTTGTATGGATGTTGACAGGATTTGGGTATGGCCAGTCTAGGGAAAAGAAGGACTAGGGGAGACATGAGAGCAGTATTCCAGTATTTGAGGGGTTGCCACAAAGGAGAGACGGGCAACTTATTCTCCAAAGCACCAAAAGGCAGGACAAGAAACAATGGATGGAAACTAATCAAGGAGGGAAGCAACCTGGAATTAAGGAGAAACTTCCTAACAGTGAGGACAATTAACCAGTGGAACAGCTTGCCACCAGAAGTTGTGGGCGCTCCATCACTGGAGGTTTTTAAGAAGAGACTAGATAGTCACTTGTCTGAAATAATATAGGTTCTCCTGCTTGAGCAGGAGGCTGGACTAGAAGACCTCCAATGTCCCTTCCTCTTCTCTTCTCTTCTCTTCTCTTCTCTTCTCTTCTCTTCTCTTCTCTTCTCTTCTCTTCTCTTCTCTTCTCTTCTCTTCCCTTCCCTTCCCTTCCCTTCTCTTTCTCTTTCTCTTTCTCTTTCTCTTTCTCTTCTCTCCATTCTATTCCATTCCATTCCATTCACAATCGCTTGCTGTATGACATACACATGAAGAAGTCCTTTTCATGACCACCATCCCACTAGACATTTTGCAATGAAAAGGGATGTTCAGTATTGCTGTGTAGAAATAGCCACATATATTAACAAATGTTCACTTGTTCCAGCAGCTCTGGTTTGAATGCCCATGAGGCCATGTTGTGCCACAGACTCCACAACTGATGTTAGCTGGAAGATCTCCAGGATGTGAAGAAGAACGGAAGCAAGAACAGGACCATGACTCTTCATTACATTCTCCATAATATATTTTTGTTAGATGAGTAATTTTTCAAAACAGGTGCAGGTTAGAATATATTGTAGGAGAGACCATGGAGCTCATGTTTAAGCCATATTTACACTGTAGAACAGGAGTGTCAAACCAGGGGTGGGATTCAAATTGTTTAACAACTGGTTCTGTGGGCGTGTCTTAGTTTGTGGTATGGCTTGGTGATCGTGTAACTGGGTGGACATGCCTTGGTGATCATATTATTGGCTGAGCATGGCCAACTCAATATCACTCACATTGAGGCACGCATCTCCTCGCCTGGCTTCTCATGACTGTGGGGATGCTGCAACAGTTGTAAGTGTGAAAAATGGTCATGTCACTTTTTTCAGTGCCATTGTAACTTTGAATGGTCACTCCACACAAGCAAAATACCAGCAAAGGAGGGGAAAAAAACTCCAGAGAAGTTCCTGAGACAGGAAGTCTAGTCCTGCCAAGAATGTAATAAGGGTTAACGGAGAGGCAGTTTCTGTAAGCAACACCAGAATGTTTCCTTCCTGCCTTCCTTACAGGATTAGGCCAGTAATTTCTTCTAACAACCGGTTCTCCGAACTGCTTAGAATGTTCTCAACTGGTTCTAGTGAATAGGTGCGAACTGGTAGAATCCCACCCCTGTGTCAAAGTCAATTTCATGCTTTAGGTCGATAACTTTAGGTTATGCTTGTGCTATTCTAATCAATTTTTTATTTCAAAATGGGGTGGGATTTTGTAAATTATTATTATAAGTTTGCAAGAGACAAAAGACATTATTTCCTTTTCTTAACCCTGCAGGGAAAAACCCATGCCAGCCTCCAAAGTTGGGCTGGACTTAAAATGCTACATTTCCTCCCAAGACTAAATCAATAAAGACATTTCGAGTGTTGCTGAGGAGCAGGAAGGACTAGAAGCATCAAGAAAACCTGCTCCCAGTTGAGAGCCCGGACAAGAACTAGGCAAAGGCAACTGGTCTGTGAGAGTCCAGGATGGGGAACTGGGCCATCAACCACTGGTTTTCAGCTCTGGTGATTGTAAGTTTTGCTTCATTATATCTGGGTCTCAATGGAAAGATAGATAAAGGACAAAATGAAGGGCCAATAACCTACTTCAGGGGGCTGCATTTAATGTAAAGCAAATAAATGATTTGCAAAAGGTTCCTGGTTCAACCTTAGTTTAAAGAATGGTACCAGTTTCACCAGTTTGGGATGAACATGGGATGGAGTAGCAAACACCACAGCCTGAAGTTCTAAAGTTCTACTCAGGATAAACCAGGGTGAACAACCTTTGATAGCTAATAGGTTTTTAAATTTACTTTAATTTTTGTTATTCTCTGTTATTTCTAAATACAAATACATAGGTAGATCTGTATCTATGATGTCATCATGTGCTGGCCAATTTGGCTTAAACATTTTTAGGGTTTTTTCTAGGTTGGGAAACTCTGAATGCATTTAGAGTACCAAGACTATCCGTCATTTCTCTGTCTCTGTCTCTCCGTCTCTCTCTCTCTCTCATCTAGCTATCATCTATATATATATATCATATGCCTGCCTACCTGCCTGCCTGCCTGCCTACGGTTCTCTCTCTCTCTCTCTCTTTTATTTCTGTTTCAAAAGTGCCAAGAAATCATACTGTTGATGGTTGGCACCTGAAGGCTGACAAACCACCGCTGCCAGCCTTTGTGATTACACAAAATCTATTGTGTTTTTGTCTGATCAAAGTCTTCAGGTCTGTGCCGTCATCACCCCCCTGGTGGCAGTGGAATTCCAAAACTCTGAATGTTTGAAAGTGTTATAGATAAATGAAATACATCATTAATGAGACTGTCTCCATCTTGTATCTGAAAGAGGCTACGGGACAAGATTAAATAATGAGAGGGTCAACTAAAAAAGATACTCCTTTGGTCTTTTTAACTGTCAGAAAAAGGGAGTGAGGGAAATGCCTAGATGATCACCCCCATAGCCCAAAGTTGTCGAAACATAAGAAGGTTATTGGGTTGCCACAGAGATAAACATGCTGTGGTTACCAACTCCCGTGGTTCATTCCTGTAAGACTCTGAGGATTAGCAGGATCAACAACTGAAGCCTTACACATGTCAAGAAGAGAAGATGACTTTGGGAATGGTGAGGTTATTTTAAAAACTGAGATTTAAGATGTCGCTTGTGGTACAGTCATCCTCTGACAACACCTCATTCTTCTACCACCTCCCTTTTCTGTCTTTTATCCTTTTTCTCAGTCTACTCTATCGTACAATCCTAAGTGGCATTAACAGTCAAGATCTGTAAGGTATTAATGCCACTCTATAAAGCCTTAGTAAGACCATACCTAGAATACTGCATCCAGTTTTGGTCACCACACTATAAAAAAGATGTTGAGGCTCTAGAAAAAGTACAGAGAAGAGCAACAAGGATGATTAGGGGACTGGAGGCTAAAACATACAATGAATGGTTTCAGGAACTGGGTATGGCTAGTCTAGTGAAGAGAAGGACCAGGGGAGATATGATAGCAGTCTTCCAATATTTGAGGGGCTGCCACAGAGAGGAGGAAGGGATCAAGTTATTTTCCAGAGAAGGAATAATGGATGGAAGCCGATCAAGGAGAGATTCAACCTGGAAATAAGGAGAAATTTTCTGACAGAGAGCAATCAACTCATGGAACAGAAGTTGCTTTCAGAAGCTGTGGGAGCTTCATCATTGGACACTTTCAAGAAGAGATTGGACTGCCATTTGTCGGAAATGGTGCAGGGTCTCTTGCTTGGGTGAGTGGGGGGGGGGGGTTGGACTAGAAGACCTCCAAGGTCCCTTCCAATTCTGTTAATCTGTAAACTGTGCTGAAGCCTGTTCACGTCAGCCAGCTGAGCTTCTGCTTCCCAACTCTTTGTTGAAATGTGGGTGTGATGAAATAACAAAATGCTACATACCTTTGAAGCGTGGTGTAAATAAAACCAATAACCATATCAATGACCTAGTTACTTTCATGAACAGAATGAGGGAATTAATCAACCATGAAGGAAATGGTACAGCTTGGAGCCAACATTTCAAGTCATGAAATATAGTGAGAGGCCTGTCGGTCAGTCATCCAGGTCGTGGCTGTTCCAAAGGGGTTTTTCCAGCTGCCTCCTGAAAAAGCACCATTGGGGCAACCACGACTTGGATGACTGAGAATCTCGACAGATTTTTAGCTATACAATTTGGGATGAACGCCCTTGGAATGGTTGTGGGAGTGGTAGGAATGGATTTCCAGAAGAAAAATGGGACCAATTGGACTAACTCAGGTGACCCTGAGGACACAGATAAAGCTCCAAATGGCCCCAACCACCCTCCAAAAGGATGCAAATGACCAGCTGTCTGCAAGGAATATCAATCCCTCCATTGCCCACTATCCGGTCAGAGTTGAAGAAGCTTCTTGGATGAGAAGCAAAACCTCTTCAAAGAAAAAACAAAGCCCAATTGCCTCCTGAAAAAAGCACCTTTGGGATATAGTGAGAGGCAAACGACTATCTACAGGTGTATAGGGAGAATGGAGAATAGGTTAAGGATCTGGTCTTGCAAAGAAATATATAGGGGTTTCTGATAGCTATTTAAAGGTATCCATCCCATTACATAGATTTTTAAAAAAATCTCTGAGATCTTGTTGTGGATACAGCAAAATGTTCACCTTATAAGGCATTGCACACCAGAACAACTAGACACAAGGAGAGTGTCCCCCTTCCCACCTCCATGCCGTCACTCTGCTAAACAACTCATTCCCACAACACTGTCAATCTATCTAGTAGGGCTGTATTACAATTATTCGTCTCATCTTTCCTATTATCTTATTTTCCTTATTTTCTTACCACTATAACTTTGTTGCTTATATCTTATGATTTATATTGATTGTTTATTTAGTATCCTAGTCTGATTTACATGGATTGCTTATTTAGTATTCTAGGACTATCACTAAGTGTTGTCTCTTATGATATTTGATGGTTATGATCATGATTTATCACTTGTTGCTTGTATGTACACTGAGAGCTTATGCACTGGAGACAAATTCCTTGTGTGTCCAATCACACCTGGCCAATGCAGAATCTTCTCTTCTCTTCTCTTCTCTTCTCTTCTCTTCTCTTCTCTTCTCTTCTCTTCTCTTCTCTTCTCTTCTCTTCTCTTCTCTTCTCTTCTCTTCACCTTCACCTTCACCTTCACCTTCACCTTCACCTTCCATCTTTCTCTCTCTCAAAATACTGTGGCAAATACAGCCACAGTATTGCCACAACCGTGACATTTATTATTATTTGGGTGTGTGGTTTATTATTAGAAGAGTAGGATGAAATGTAGTTAGTCTTATTCTTTCCTTATTACTTGCAACATATTTTTTTTCTCCTGCTCATTTCCTCATACTCTGCACTGCAGGAATATATTTTTTTAAACTAATTAAAAAAAAACCCACACATTTCCTCTTCTTTTAAAGTTATGAACTTTGTTCATGTTAGACTACGTGGGCTGGATGGGGAAATGAGCTAAGGGTTCATGGAAGGATTTTAAAGTTTGCCTAGGAAGATCCAGGATCATTTCGTTAATGATTTTAACTAAATTTGCATTTGTTCTTATGGGCTGCTAAGCATGCTATGTAATGAAAAGAAGGCATTGCAGAAAAGCAAATCAGCTTCCTTATCAGATGATCTAATTAGGGAAATAAGATATAGAAGGAAAAAAATCTTGCAGAATTTTGTCTTCCTCCCTCCCTCCCATGTCCTTATTTTTCCTTTAATTTCCATGCTTTTATTGTATTCAAAAATGAATAAATAAATTTTAAAAATGCATGCAAACCAGCCACATGTGGCCATATACAAGTATGGGCAAAATGTTGATCATCAGTTACCCAAAAAGAATGCTTAATATTTGTACATCTCTTGCAAGAACTGTGATCTGAACTCTTATGTCAATTTCCTAGACAACACTAAAACTTGTTTAGCTGATTTGTGACTTAACTGAATTCAGGCAAGAAAACAATTCATGGTTGGTATGTTATCATGCACACTGATGTTTCTCCCCACAAATACTGTAATTAATATATAGATTATCTCATTTCAAAATATTCCTGAATGTAATTGTCTTTCTTGTCAATGAATGGCTGATATTGTAAAACTGAACACATGAAATGATTTTTTTTCCCTTTCTTCCTTAGGCTGCTTGGTTAGCATTGAATATATACCTTTTTCTGACATATTTCCTGATATTTGATAGAAGTGAACAGTACTATTACACCAGGCAGATTCTTGGGGTGAGCATCATTTTGGCATCTCATAAACTTTTGATCTGCATGCGGTAGAGATGAAAAATCTTTAACTTAACTGGAGGAAAAAATATATGTTCGCACTTCTTAAGTGGTCTGTGAGGGGCCTGCATAAGCATACAATCGTGCCTACTGTCCCTGTCTTTTTGTCTCCAATTATTCGTACCTATTTCATGTATTTAAACTTAAGTTTATTCTTATTTCTATTATATTGTAAGTGTTTGACAAAATAAATAAATAAAATAGAACCAGAGACTAAAGACAGCCACTCTCTAGAATTTCCCAGGGTACATCCATGAAGGAAAGACTAGTAAAAGTTTTGTCTGGCAAGATTCTGTCTATGTAGTATATGCAATTTTTTTTAAAAATAACCCTGAACATTGGCTGCCTTGTTTTACTGCATGACATTTTTGGGCTAGACCTGACAATATTCCTGCTTTAGGAGCTGCAATATGGTATATAAAATGATGCCCAAGTGATCTTCTCCTCTCTTTGCCTTTCTAGTCTGCGCTGGCTTGGGCTCGGGCATCGGCCAAGTGTCTGAACTTCAATAGTATGTTGATCCTGTTGCCTGTTTGCCGGAATCTCCTCTCCTTCGTGAGAGGCACCTGTCGGGTGAGCAAGTGGCTAAGATCACAGTATGGTGTACTTAGTCCTGGGGGTTGGGTGGGCACCGGGAATCCAGCTGGTTGCTAAAAGATTTTAACAGATTTAACAGATTAACAGAGTTAGAAGGGACCTTGTAGGTCATCTAGTCCAACCCCTGACCAAACAGGAGACACTATACCAATTCTGACAAATCGAAGTCCAATCTCTTCTTGAAAGCCTCCAGTGATGAAGCTCCCATAATTTCTGAAGGCAACTTCTGTTCCATTGGTTGGTTGCTCTCACTTGTCAGAAAATTTCTCCTTATTTCCAGGTTGAATTTCTCCTTGTTCAGTTTCCATCCATTGTTCTTTGTCTGGCCTTCGGGTATTTTAAAAAATAGCTTGACCCCTTCCTCTCTGTGGCAGCCCCTCAAATATTGGAAGACTGCTATCCTGTCTCTCCTGGTCCTTCTCTTCACTAGACTAGACATGTCCAGTTCCTGCAACAATTCACTGTATGTTTTAGCCTCCAGTCCCCTAATCATCTTGGTTGCTCTTCTCTGCACTTTTTCTAGAGTCTCAACATCTTTTTTATAGTGTGATCTCACTAAGGCTTGATAGAGTGGTATTAATAGCTCCTTTGATCTTGATTGTATTCCCTCTGTTAATGCAGTTTAGGGTTGCATTGGCTTTTTTGGGCTGCCGCTGCATACTACTGGCTCATATTTAACTGGTTGTCTTGTGGAAGATTATAAGGGGTATAATTTATGTTTGGATCCTGTTTTAGAAAGGTGGAACATCTCCATTTCCAGATTAAGTGACAAGGAAATAATTGAGAGGGGAATAATGGCTAGAACGTTGACCGTGGACAGCTCTGCACATGGTTTCTGTGCCTCCATTCCATAGCCATTGAGACTTGTTCTGTGGGATCTTGGGAACTACAATTTAGCAAAATTTGAAGGGCCACAGAGAGCCTAATTCCTGGAATAAAACTCATTTAGAAGTGTTTGTTCACAGGAGACAACCTGGGACCTGGGGACTGTATGAAGTGCTTCCATTCCTTTTCCTCCTCTCCTTCCTATCGGAAGCTAGTAAAGTTTTCCAACATAAGATGTGCCTCAAAACAGAGCAACAAAGAAAAGGGGTGTCTTGATGTCCAACTTATGACCAGGAATGCTGGCTAGATAGCTGACCCAGCAGACCTATCCTCATGTTTTATTCTCCCATTATTGAATAGTTCGTCTGTTTGTGATTTTTTGCTTTGTCAATTCAGTGTTGCAGGCGGACCATGCGACGGCAGCTGGATCATAACCTGGCCTTCCATAAACTGGTGGCTTACATGATTGCTATTCATACAGGTAAATTCATATAGGAACCTCTGTGGCGCAGTGGTTAGAGTGCAGTACCACAGGCGACTTCTGCTGGCTGCCGGCTGCCTACAATTTGGCAGTTCAAATCCCACCAGGCTCAAGGTTGACTCAGCCCTCCATCCATTTTGGGGGCAATAGGCTGACTCTGTAAACCGCTTAGAGAGGGCTGTAAAGTGGTATATAAGTCTAAGTGCTATTGCTAAACAGAAACATCTGGGAAAGTTAAAAGAATTCTGTGGGAAAGACATGAATTGCAATATTATGAGGCTGCCATGCAAGTGTTGCCCTTAAATTTGCAGCACAATAGCATAAAACTCGCCTTTGTGATGTCATGATGTATCTTTTGGTGTTGTGGGGATGAGAATGAGGCCATATCAATGCGATTTTCTCCATAATTACATATTAGCAGGCAATGGTATGTTTCTGCCTTCATGCTGAACACTGGTTTGCTGAATCGTGGTTAATTCAAAACATCACATTTGATTGGGCACACCTAAGACACTGAACTATCAACCCTGATTTGCAAACTAATGCCCAGTGTTTGGGTTCAGGGTTCACACAAGATACTAAGCAACAAAAAGGAAAACCATGTTGTTAACTGCTTACTGTGCTGACCGAGTCCCAGTATTAACTGTTATAACTTAACTGGCTCTTCTTAAAAATCAAATTGTTTTTACAGTTCTGAGTCAGAGGTGGTATTCAGCAGGTTCTGACCAGTTCTGGAGAGTTGGTAGCAGAGATTTTGAGTAGGTGAGAGAACCAGCAGATAACACTTCTGACTGGGGATTTTACAGTATCCTTCCCCTACCACGCCCAAAGAACCGGTAGTGAAAAATAAATAAATTGAATCTCACCACTGTTCTGAGTGCTCCTTTTTACTCAAAACCCAGTGTGACTCATTGTCGTTTCTTTTTCAGAACTAACAGTTTGTGAACCTTTTCACTTACGCCCTTTCAACTCTTAGTTCAAATTATTCCACGTTACGATTAAGATGTATGGGTTATTAAGAAATTTGGGGGTCAATCCATTGCCTGGGTTGGTTGGGGTATTTTTGTTTTGTTTTTAATTCAGTAAATGGTTTTTGCCTTGTGCTCTCTTCAAGCCATTCACATCATTGCTCATTTGTTCAACGTTGAGTGGTACATCGATGCTCAGCAGAAAACGGACGAGAGCTTGCCTTCCATCCTGTCGCATCTTCACAAGACGGATGGTTTGTGGTTAAATCCTATCCATTCCAACTCTACCGTAAGTGTGTCGCTGAATCAATAATTTACTTCTGAAAATAAAATTACTTGAGAGCCCTCATCTAAATCTGATAGTAACAGGAACAATCTGATTTTATCTGTAACATTGGTTCATGGAATTTAGGAGGATTATCTGTGCTTTTTAAAAACCTGGATACAAAATATGAGGTTTCCTGGACACCAATGCTTTCTTGGCAGTCTGTTTCCCCTTCCCCCCATGTCTTTTGCTGAGTTACACTGGATCAATATTCTAATTGTCTTTTACTTTAAAGGATTAATATCCTAAATATGTGCATCAAACAGCATTTTCTAATTGTCTTTTAAAGGATTAATATCCTAAATATGTGCATCTAACAGCATTTTTTTTAAAAAAAGGGAAGATGCCATTTTAAAACCTTGTTTAAAATTTTTGGTGAGTTGCTTCGGGTACATTTTAAAAAATGGGCACAATTTGTTTTTGGTGATTATTTTTTAAAAGGATGTTTGAGTTTGATGGTCATGTTACAGTTTTGTTACATGGGTCAGGTTTCCATGGGATGGAAATTCTCCAGGTTGGGAGGATCCCAGAGGTTGTGGAATACACCCCAGGGACATGGTCCATTATGTCTTTGTGTGACTTCGCCTTGCTTGCTCTTGCAGATTCCTTTATACGTAGCTTTCACCACCATTCCAGGCCTGACGGGTGTGATCATCACATTGGCGCTTATTCTCATGATCACATCTTCCATGGAACAAATACGCAGAAGCTATTTCGAAGTCTTCTGGTACACCCACCATCTCTTTGTGATCTATTTTGCTGGCCTCGTCATCCATGGCATCGCGTAAGACACCAATGCTTTAACAGATGGCAGGATGGGCTAACTCTACACATAGACACACACACACACACACACACACAAAAGATGGGTTAATTATTTATACACACCAATGCATACATACATGCCCTGAAAATAAGACCGAGTCTTATATTATGTTTTGCTCCAAAAGACGCATTATGGCTTATTTTCTTATTAGGTCTTATTTTCGGGGAAATATAGTACTAAATGCATTTGTCAGGATGACAATATTAACTGGGGCTTATTTTGGGGGTAGTGCTTATATTACAAGCATCCTGAAAATCATGCTATGGCTTATTTTCCAGTTGGGTCTTATTTTCAGGGAAACAGGATACGTATGCATGCATACACAGACACACCATTTAGAAAGAAAGTTTTAGCCACTTTCATAAAAGAACTAACATCAATTTAAAAAAAGAAGAAGAAAGAGAAAGGGGGCAGAGAAAAAGAAAAACTGAAAGTGTAGAAGAAAAACAGATAAAAGATATAAAGATGAATTAGTAAAATGGGTTAATTCTGATGCACTTGGCTATTTTTAACTGGGTGAGAAGAGCAACTAGGTTTCTGTTTTTCACCTTTTATTTTATAATTATGCAATATTTTATTATATAATAATTTAAAATTTGTTATAAAAGCATGATAGTGTTTGGATCCTGTGGTATTTATAGTGTTGAGTAGAGATTAACACTCTGATGTTTAGGCAAAGCCTTAAAAACAAAGAAGATTAAATTAATATGAAACATGGTTCCTAAAATGTTAACGTTGATGTTTAAATTTTACAGCTGGAGTTAAAGGTGGCATTAATAAACAGCTGTAAAATACACTCAGTTCTTGCACAATTGCAGGTATCTGCAGGGGTGGGATTCAAATTTTTAACAACTGGTTCTGTGGGCATGGCTTAGGTGGTGGACAGGGCTTGGTGGTCATGTGACTGGGTGGACATGGCTTGGTGATAATGTTATTGGCTGGGTGTGGCCAACTCAATATCACTCGCATCGAGGCACGCATCTCCTCGCCTGGCCTCTCATGACTGTGGGGATGCTGCAACAGTCGTAAATGTGAAAAATGGTCATAAGTCACTTCTTTCAGTGCCATTGTAACTTTAAATAGTCGCTCCACACAAGCAAAGTACCAGCAAAGGAGGGAAAAAGAACCTCCAGAGAAGTTCCTGAGACAGGAAGTCTAGTCCTGCCAAGAACGGAATAAGGGTTAACGGAGAGGCAGTTTCTGTAAGCAACACCAGAATGTTTCCTTCCTGCCTTCCTTACAGGATTAGTCCAGTAATTTCTTCTAACAACTGGTTCTCCAAACTGCTTAGAATGTTAACAACCGGTTCTAGCGAATAGGTGTGAACTGGTAGAATCCCACCCCTGGGTATCTGCATTTTGAAGGCTGTGTTAGGTTAAGCTAACAATATTTGTGTATGACACATAATTCGGAATAACAACTGCAATCGTTTCACTACAATCCTAGCAGCCAATGTAAATACATGACATAGCCAGTAATTGTATCTGGAATTCCTCCCACCTGCAGAACAATGAGTGAAGGATTTTAGAAACTTCTGGAAGTTTCAGCTCTAGCATCTTTTCAAAAAAAAAAAAAAAAAAAAAACAGAATGAGAGGGAGGGGGTATGTGAAAGACAAAGAATCAGACAATATAGTAAGTAGCAGTTCAGGTTTAGTGCTCAAGCCTATAGACAAAAATCTAATCAACTGAAGTTCAATTCAAAAACTTTTTATCCTGTTTGGGCAGGGGGTTGGAGTAGATGTCCTACAAGGTTCCTTCCAACTCTGTTAATCTGTAAATAATCTGTAAATAATCTGTAAATAATATGAATTGGCAACAGATAAGGGTCCATGCAATTCAAGAAGGGTTGGACTTAAACTGTTTGTGGGAATGTAATGATTCCAGACTGATGACTTGTTTAACTCCGCCCTCCAGCTCTGCCTTCTCTGATTCCTATAGGATGAGGACGGAGGAGGCATTGTCATAGCAAGCCATTTTCTCCCACTACTTAGCCACTGAATCCCTTTCAGAATTTCTCCTGGGAAAGGCAACTATTTAGAGGATGCCCTTTTGTATCCATAGAGGTCTTGTTCGTGGGCAAACGGCCGAAAGTTTGATGAAGAATAACCCCAAGAAGTGTGCGCATCGCCATACCCAGTGGGGCCAAAACAGCAGCCATCCCTATTGTGAAGTGCCTGAGTTTGGGAGCATTCCAGCTGAGGTCAGAACATACATTGGTGATGGGTAGAGTGGTGATGCATTCCCAGGAGGGAGAGATGCATTCCAGAGGAATAAGAGGCAACTCAGCTAGGATATCTTGTGTGAGAGAAAGAGGATGAAGACAGCACTTCCCTAATAGTTTCCCAGAGTATATCGTAGATGCTGATAGTAAAGTCTTTAGTCTGGCAAGATTCTGTCTATGGGGGTGAAACAATGAAAACCTCAGCTTGGAAGAATCACCAAATGTCATTTTGGATTTTGGCCCTGAGTGCAGCACCTGAGAAGGATTCAGGAGATAAGTTTTGTATGCAGCCACCTTATCTTGGGAACTTCCTCCACTCCGGTTCATCTGATTAGCAAAAAAAATGGAAAAAGCTCTCCACTCTAATGTAGTGGAAGAGAAAGGAGTCCTAAAATGGGAGCGGTTCAATTGTAATACTATCCCTATCTCATGAAAGAAGACCCCGTGAGGATTTTGCTTTGGATTGGTTGAGTCAGTGGCCAAAGCTAACCAATGTGTAGTTGATGTTAACAGACATTTCATCCACCCAGCCCCGCCCCCCAAAAGCTGAACTTCCTATTACTCTAAACATAGCTGTAGCTTCATTGGGGATCTTGATGAGTTATAAAATCATGGTTTGTGGCTCGGTATATTGGGCGAACCCAGGCAATTATGGTAAAAAGCAAGCGGTGGTTTAACATAACGTATGAATTCAGCTTAAGGAACTACATAGCGTATGGAATTTTGGAGATAGAGAGATCAGGAAAAATTCCTGCTTTCCTGCAGGACGGTCCTTCTTATTGCATTTGGTTCTTTTTTTTTAAAGTCCTGGAAGTGGGTGCTGGCACCTATTATTCTCTATGCCTTTGAGCGAGCCCTGAGGATTTGGCGCTCCTGCCAGAAGGTGGATATTATGAAGGTAAGTGTTGGGTCTGCCTCCAAATCTACTCACCAGCTTTGTACTCTAAAACAGTTAAGAGAGAGGGAAAGGGAGGCGGGGGAAGACACAGAGAGAGAGAAAGAGAGACAGACAGAGACAGGCAGAGAGAGAGAGAAACAGAGAGAGAGAGAGAGAAACACAGAGAGAGAGAAACACACATAGACAGAGAGAGGTGGGGAGAGGGAGAAAGAGCTAGAAAGGCAGACACAGAAAGAGACAGAGAGAGACAGATATCTAAGACCCATAATCAAGTAGTACAATATTACTGTCCTGTTACAGTAAACATGACTTAGAGCTGAGCTCAGCGTCCATCTGAAAGTGGTTTGCTGCTTCGCTGCTTATCCAATGAAGAGTGATGGATGCCTTGAAAATATGCCCACAATTTGTGCAATGTTAACTGGCCCTAATAAAGGTGTTCCAATGCTACTTTCAAACAACCTGCGTGATCTGGTGTGAAGAATTGCTTCAACTCCTTTTCCCTTGGCGAAGGTGCTCGTTTTTCGAAGAAGCAACCGGACTTCCTTTAGTTTTTCTTTGGAAGACATTTCACTTCTCATCCAAGAAGCTTCTTCAGCTCTGAGGAGTTGGGAGGAGTTACATTCCTTGCAGACAGCTGGACATTTTAGACTCCACACCCATTTGCACTACCCAGGTGACCCTGAGAACACATATCCATTTCCAAGGGGCCTCAACGGCCCTCGGAAAGGATGCAAATGACCAGCTGTCTGCAAAGGAATATAACTCCTTCCATTCCCCACCATCCAGTCAGAGTTGAAGAAGCTTCTTGGGTGAGGAGCGAAACATCTTCAAAGAAAAGGCAGAAAGTCCAGTTGCTCTTGGAAAAAAAAAGCACCTTTGGGACAACCATGACCTGAAAGACTGAGAATCTCCATGGACATTTTGCCTGTGTCCTTAACTCTTTACATCCAATGTGATGGCATTGAACTGACGCTGAGGAGATCGAAGTTTAAACTCAGCCATGGGATATCACTGAGCGGCTATGGGAGAATTACTTTATCGCAGCCCAATCTCCATCTTCTATGTAACCAAAGGAGAAAGGGCCAGTCAGGCTTGTGTTTCAGCTTCAGAGGAGAGTCAGGAAGGGCTCAATCTGTCTTCCTTGCAGGTCTACTCCGTGTGGGGGAGAAGATACTGTAGATGGGGAGTGGGATCCGCCGCATCCCCATTGGGACAAGGCATAGGGTTGGCTCACTTTTGAAATCTTGTCTTCAGGTCATCATGCATCCCTCCAGAGTGCTGGAAATTCAGATGTTCAAGGCAGGTTTTAGCATGGAAATCGGACAGTATGTGTTCCTCAACTGCCCCGCCATCTCCTATCTGGAGTGGCATCCGTTCACTCTCACCTCCGCCCCGGAGGAAAACTACTTCTCGGTCCACATTCGGGTGGCGGGTGATTGGACGGAGACCTTGATTGACACCTTGCAGCAGCCAAACTCACCAATGCCCAGGTGAGCAGAGAGGGCAACGTGAGTAGCTGTGGCTGGCCTCACTTGAATTTCTTGCATTGGTCCCTTTTGGATAAGCTTGAAAGTATATCTTTTCACAGTTCATATTGCTACCTTGTTTAGTCAAAAACATTAAAATATATCTGAAAAGTCCCAGGCTTGTGGAACTAAGCTCTGCTGGATGTTTTATGGCACGAATGGCATCAGCTGGGCTTTTTTTTTATAATCTATCTTCTTTTCATGACCCCATAATCCCTTGTGGGGTGGAGTCTGGGCAACTGAATGGAGCTGACTGTTTACTGGCCGGATGCCCTTCCTGTTGCCAATGCGGAGTTATATTCAGCGGATATATTCTCAGTGTGCCCAGAGAGAGAAATATCTGCCTCTACCTAGGATCGACCTCACGGCCTCCTGATTGTGAGGCGAGAGCTCCGCCTCTAGGCCACTGCACCACTCAACTTTTTGTAATCTATATTAAGAGCAGAAAAAGCAAAACACTGTTTGCTCATCTTTTCAGGATGATGGTGGATGGTCCTTTTGGCACAGCCAGTGAGGATGTCTTCCGGTATGAGGTGGCCATGCTGGTGGGAGCTGGGATTGGGGTGACTCCGTTTGCTTCAGTACTGAAATCCATCTGGTACAAGCTCCAACATGGTGACCAGGAGCTTCAAACCAGAAAGGTGAGCTCAGCTGGCTTCTCCTTACCCTGTTTACAAGTAGTCTTTAAGGTACGGCCATAAAAGAGTTCTTGAGTTTATAATGTCTTGCAGGCTTAAGCCAGAATCAGTATATCATGTTTCTCCAGAAAGATGAAAAGAGAGGTAGACATTGGGCTCTTCTAGACCAGAATTGTCAACTACCGTAAATTCTCCAAGATCAGGAATTTTCCCAGCCTTACTTGCCGGAGATTGAATGTGGAATCTATATTTATTGATTTATTTATCCAATTTATATGCTATCCACTTGTGTGACTCTGAAAGGCTTACAGAATGATAAAAACATAAATAGAAAAGCATAGCTAAGTGTCTATGGAGATTCTAAGTCATCCAGGTCATGGTTGTCTCAAAGGTGCTTTTTCAAGAGGCAACTGGACTTTCTGTTTTTTTCTTTGAAGACATTTCGCTTCTCACCCAAGAAGGCTTTCTCAGCTCAGACTTAAAGAAGTTGAAGAAGCTTCTTGGATGAAAAGTGAAACGTCTTCAGAGAAAAACAAGAATGTCCAGTTGCCTCTTGAAAAAGCACCTTTGGGACAAATAGGAAAGCAATTAACATTAATGAATCAAAGACTGAAAGACTTCCTGCAAACATCTTCTCTATTACTCAACCAAGATTGCTTTCTGTCCGACTTTTATGATTTAGAAGCACTGGTTCACACGACCCTGCTTAGGAGTTTCCGTTCAACATCTATTGGGTTTTGCGCTTTCTACATGGCAGTTGAGGGATATTCGTTTTCTTTGAGGTTTAACGTGCTGTGAAAACTGAGTTTGTTTGGGGTTTGATGGTCCACGTAAAAAGGAAAATTGATGCAGTAAACAGGGCAAACATCTTGTGTCACGCAAAAGTTGTTGTATTTCTGATCTCAACATCTTTCAACTTCGTATTGAAACAAGAAAAAGAAAGAACAGGGCATTCTGACTTAGAGGGTGGAAACTGACATTTTAAAGCACTTTGCCATTTCCATCTTTTTCTTTTCTTTTCTTTCTCTTGTGGACGGCAAGATTTACTTCTACTGGGTTTGCCGAGAAACAGGATCGTTTGCCTGGTTTAAACACCTCCTTTCCTCCTTGGAGCAAGAGATGGAGGGATCTGGTAGAGCCGATTTCCTGAGCTACCATCTTTACCTCACTGGCTGGAACAGAAGCATGGTGAGTTGGAGGGCTAATCTTGGCAAACTGTCTTACTCTTCAGCTTCTTGACTTATCGCTTTGCACTTTCAAGAAAGTCATCTGCATTTCACAGTCTTCTGACCGAGATGGAAACCCAGAACAAAAGGCATTGTTCAAAGTTAGTTTGTTCAGTTGCTTTACCAGAACAGGTCTTCATAGCTCAAAGTGTTATAAAACTATCTTAAAAGATAAAATTGGAGGTGAAAAGGCGCATATTTGATTTCTAAAAGGAATCAAGCCAAGGTTTCTGAGAAAGGGACTTCATGCATGGGACTTTACCACACTGAGAAGGCCTATCCTCCCAATGCTTTCTGGGTTCACCTTTGAAGGATCTTCCAAAATGTTCTTGGAAATAACCTTCAGGAAGGAGTGGTTATATTAATAAAAGACCGGCAAACCTTGACTTACAACCTCAAGAGACCAGAATTTCCATGGCTGAGCCGCTAAGTAAGTCATGTCCAATTTTACAACCTTATTTGCCATGGTTGTTACATTGAATGCAGCTTCCTCTTTTGACTTTGCTGGTTATTAAGTCAGCCATTTTCTTTTATAAACCAGGATTTGTAGCTTATGAACAAAAACAGTTAGTTGTTTATTTAGGAAACTGCAAGGAAACAAATTAAAATAGCGTATGGGTAAAACTCGCCACTTAGCTGGTTTCCTTGGCTTAAGTGTTTGTATAAAGAGGTTCATCTTTAGGTTATTCCCATGAATGGTGGAGAACACCTTGACCCATTCCAAGATCTGGACGATGTGTTTTAACAGGAGATTGTTGGGAGTGCTGTGCAATTTTGACTTTGGCCCCCTTTCTTTGTTGGGAAACTAGGTTGGCCATGCAGCTCTCCATTTTCAGAAGTCCACCGACATGGTGACAGGCCTGAGGCAAAAAACCTCTTTTGGGAGACCCATGTGGAATAATGAATTTTCGGCAGTGGCGGCTGCACACCCCAGGTAAGAGATAGCTTTTCAACCAAGTAAAGTTCTTTTGTTCTCATCCAACCTAGTAGCAGTTCCTACAAACTGCAACCATTTTTTCAGGATTTCTGGAAAAAACAAAACCCCCCCATCATTTGCTACCTGAATTTTGAAAACTGGAAAATGCAGTTAGGATGGCTGGGATTGAATGCCCAGGTGCCCCATCACTGAGCTATGGTTTCTCTCCTCTGGAACATTGTGGACAGGGAATCAGTACCACGGACAGCTCCATATCAAACCTTTTTGTGATGGATCAAACGTTTATCCAGTTATCTTTTATTACATTTACTTTAATCCCTTATTCTGGATACATTTGCCCCATAAGCTAACATTTTAGAAGACGTGTTCTCTCCTTTATGATAAAGAGGGAATGTAGATAATGCTTGCCATCTGTAGTTTTTGTAGGTAGTTGTATTATTTATGCTTTCTAGAGCCAGTCTTGAAAAATTGTGGCTGGTCTGTTCAATTCCTAGTCTCTCCTTTCTCTTATCTTGTTGGTCTGTCTTGTAAGTTAGATGGACACAAAAGCAGGCTACCAACAAGCCGGGAAGCCATAAACCAACTCATTGTTGATGCCTGCACATTACACCAAGCCACAGCTGCTAATCTGGAAATAAACAGGGGAGGGGGATATCCTTCATTGGCCTAAAGAAACCATGCAATTTGCCCATCATCTTAAGCCAAACCCACCCACATTGGTTTAGTTCATCAGCCAATGCTTTAATCTCTCCAGCTAACCACAGGGTGCCATTCTGTTCCTGTCCCTTAATGATTATGTCAAACCTGCCAAGATATGCAAATCCTACTTAATGCTGCTTCCAAAGCCCAGCCTAGAGGCAGTTTCCAAGAAGGCTCATTCCAACTGATTTATGGTTATTTTTATCCTTATCCTAGGTCTGTTGTGGGTGTGTTCTTGTGTGGACCAGAGCAGCTGGCAAAAACTCTGAGAAAATACTGCAGTCAGCACTCTAGTCTGGATCCCAGAAACGTCCAGTTTTATTTCAACAAAGAGAACTTCTGAAACACCAGGATTCAAATCAGAAGGGGAAAGCTATTAAATACCTGTCTGAACTAAATAACGACTATAAGACCAGAGCCTGCAACTTAGTGGACACTCCTTTCAAATTTGCATATTGCCAGGATATATATTTTTCTATTTATTTTTTTTAAGTTTAAATAAAATGTAAAAAAATATGCCAATTGGCACTAATAAATTGGCACACTGCACTGCCATCTAACCATATTGATAAAAGCCAGTCTCTCTTTTTTAGTGAACCATGTCAGGATCAAATTCCATTTTTTTTTTATTGCTTTCTGGCAAAAAGCGCAAGCTTTTTGTATAGATGATAGGCAATTTGGGGACAAAAAAAAAATTCAAATAATTGAGCCTGAGAAATGCTGTCCTTCCCAAAGCTGCAGTAAATGGCACAAATGTTTGATTCTTGCTTCATCTGGCAAACGCCCACCTCTTATTTTGACCGTTGTGTACTAAAATCTATGCTGATGTCTCATCTTCAGAGCTATAATCAACTCAATCTTCTATTCAGCTAGTCAACATTTCCCAGATGTTGCCCCCCCCCTTTTTTTTTGCAAGAGCTGCAGACAATATTGGAGCAATCGGTCTGCTTGGGAGTGCTGTGAATGGACTCTTCTTGTGGTGGGAAACTGCAAAGATGCGACATGACAGGTGCATAAACAGCAATGTGAAAAAGGAATTTGTTAAGGGTTGTAATGTATTCTGAGCAGGCTTTGAATGGTGCATAATCAGGATAAGGTTTTTTTTTGTAATATTCTCTCTTCCTGTCTTACAATGCTGTATCAGCAGAGCTATAATCTGATTTGCTTAATGGTGGTTTAACTGCTGCTGGTTTGTAATGAACAGCCAATTCTGATTCCTTCAGTAACTCAGGGTAACTGAAACCATGCCATGTCTTGGACTACGTTGAACACCTAGATTTTATTTTCCTGGCCTCAAGATCACTGCAGATGGGGACTACAGCCAAGAAATTAAAAGACACTTACTTCTGGGGAGGAAAGCTATGGCCAATCTAGACGACATACTAAAAAGCAGAGACATCACCCTGCCAAAAAAAGTGCGTAGAGTCAAGGTGATGGTTTTCTCAGTTGCAATGTATGGCTGTGAAAGTTGGACCATGAGGAAGGCTGAGCGTCAAAGAATGGAGGCCTTTGAATGGAGAAGACTCCTGCGAGCGAGTCCCTTGGACTGCAAGGCCATCCAACTGGTCAGTCTGAGAGGAGATCAACCCTGACTGGTCTTTAGAAGGCCAGATCCTGAAGATGAAACTCTAAATACTTTGGCCACCTCATGAGAAGGAAGGACTCGCTGGAGAAGAGCCTAATGCTGGGAAAGATTGAGGGCAAAAGAAGAAGAAGGGGACGGCAGAGAAGGAGGTGGCTGGATGGAGTCATTGAAGCAGTCGGACTCCGGGGGATGGTAGAGGACAGGAAGGCCTGGAGGAACGTTGTCCATGGGGTCACAGTGGGCCGGACACGACTTCACAACTAACAACTGCTGAACATCTAGATTTCAGCAAGTCTCTTCCATCATAGTTTTCCCAATTACGTTCTTTTTCTCAAGCAACTCAGCATCCTGAATCCAATTTTTTGTATGTTGCTTAAGGAGAACTGGGTACGTTTGCAAAAATACTATTGAAATATGGAGAGTCTGGCTTAAGACACAGGCAAATGTGTTCAACTACAGAACATAGTTTTATTTATTATTTGAGAAACAACAATGGAAACAATACCGGGGGCGGGTGGGGGGGTACAAGAAACTCCCTTCTCCTTTCTGACTTGGATCAGACCAGGGAAGAGTCTTTGAGCTGCCTTCAGTGTCATTTCCAGCCAGGGCTGAATTTCATTCAAAGGATTTCTAAGCCTGTAAAAATAAAATGGACACTGTTAAAAAAGGGACAATACCCCAGTTTTCTTCCCTGCAGAAAAAGGGCATTTCAACCTGAAAGCAAAAAAAGGGATAAGACAAGCAATGAAAATTAAATCTGCAATGAGGTAGAATATTAAGTATGTGTGAGTACTAATAATTAATAAAAAGCAATGTAACACATGTAACACAACACATTATATAGATATTTCATTTACTTTCCAGAATTTTTCCTTCCAAAAAGTGTTCAAAACACACCAGGCCTCTATAGTAGTTTTCCATTTTATTAACATTATTGGATGTCCATAGCTTTTCAAGAGCTATTAAGGAACAGCATCACTTTGTAATCATCTATAATGAGTGCTTTTTTTCCAAGAGGTAACTGGACTTTCTGGTTTTCCTTTGAAGATATTTCGCTTCTCATTCAAGAAGCTTCTTCAGCTCTGAGTTGCCTCTTGAAAAAGCACCTTCAACTTTCACCAACCGTGACCTGGATGCAGGGGTTCTACAGACATTTAGCATTTATAATTAATGTAACATAATGTAACACGGTTTTATAGAAACCTGAAATGTGCATGAAAACAGTGTGTGGCCAGAATGTTGTCCCCAAAGACGGGTGACACTGATGCTTCACTGACATAACCAAGGGTGGAAAACAAAATAGGATGCAAGACATATGGAGGGTAATTTTAACCCAGGGCAGGCTAAAGGAAAATCCCCCTGCATTTCACCCTTTATTATAAAAAAAAAAAATTGCTCTTGCATAAGCTAAAATAGGAGTACAGAAGTTAAAAACCAAACCGGAGCTAGAAGAGGAATTGTTTTTCTCAAGCTTGAAGACTGCTTGCGAAGGGAATTTGCCAAAGGTTTTGTGCTGTTTTACAGAAAAAAAACGGTGCTATTTTCCTGCTTTTCCTCCTCCCCCGCTTGAACCCGTTACCCAAGGAATGTGGATCATGGGGCGCCAGTAGATTTCTGTATCTGCTCCTTCAGAATGAGAATGCTCTGCCTTTGTTCTGGAGGCAGCATGGCGATCTGGTCGGCAGTCAGCTGGAGAACTTGCATAATGAGGGCTGCCTGTGGAGAAGCGGAAAAGAGGGAAAATGACACACCAGGCAGGGGAAGCCTTGATGGGTTGTGCTTCCCTGGTGTAGGCTTGTGATCTTCCTTTGGAATTGGGCAGATATTTTCCCATAAAGAGCCATGGATCCAGTACTGCAAGGCTAACTCACTGCCAGCGGTTTGATGCTGACCAGTTCAAGGTTGGATTAGCCTTCCATCCTTCCGAGGTCGATCAAATAGAAGAGAGGGCTGTAAAGCACTGTGAAGTGGTATGTAAGTCTAAGTGCTACTGCTAAATCTAGCTAATTACTTCCTTCTGCTGCAGGCCAGGCCTTTATAAAATAACAGGCCCCTTTAATACTTGATGGATCGTTAATGGACAGTGTAAAAAAAAAGAAAATAAATAATAACTGAGGGTTAATTGGCATTTCTAAAGCATATTAAGAACTGGATTTGAAATGGGCATCAACTCTAAGTGAGAGTTAGAGGAGAAAGGATTTTTTGCAACTTCAAAGCCTTTCTTTGCTCCTGTCTTGGGCATGGCTAACAGCCCCAGAAACAAATGCTACAACTTTAAAAGCACAACTACAACGACGTGGGAAAATTCCCCGAACAAAGCTGAATACCGTATGTATGTATGTATGTATATACTCCCCCCCCCCTTACCTTTTCATGATCCTGGGGTGTGACTTGGTTTTGCCCAGGGCTGAAACCTCCAGGCTGGGCTGCAGATTGTACTGCTCCGCCTCCCATGGCTCCACCCTGCATACTAGGAACCTGAGGACAGAAAAAGTATTCAGATTTACTGCCCTATGGAGCCAAACTGGAATTGAGTTTCAGAAAAGAGTAATTATCTCTGAACAAGAAACAGGTGTGGGGGATAGATAATGGAAGTGTGCGCAAATCCACTGACAAGAAGATAATGTGAAGACCTGACCTCTTGCCTCAGCAAATTTTAATTTCAGACGAAAGATTTCAAAACAAAACTTTTGCTGTCATCCTTTCTGCCAATGGATGGGTTTTCTAGTCCATGTCTTGGGAGGGCGGGGTGGGTGGGGGAAGGAATGATTCTTTTAATGACAACAAAGAGCTTTGTTGATTATCAGGCAAAGTAGCCGTGTTTATTTCTACGAACAGCTCTTTATAAAGGCTCGGTCAATTTCAATGCACGGATGAAATGATCTCTCTAAGGCAGCTGCATTTGGACAACGCCCAGGGTTTGGGGCTAAAGAAGAAGCCATTTTTTTTACAATGCTGGTTTTTTGAGAACAGGGATGGGCATCCTGGGGGGGTGGAAGAGAGAGAGAAAAAGAGAGGCCGCAAACAGTTCCAGGTCTATTTCTTTTGCCTGCAGCTAAAATTTAGCAGCAAACTGAATCACTGGCAATGTGACTGCATCTTTTAAAAGATTTAAAAACTCAGTCCAGCCATTGAACAACCACTTAAAGCACATCAGGTGCCGCTTGCCTAAGGTGGTTCACAATCTAACACAACCATTATTGTGGGGAGGATCTGGCATCAGGCGAAATGACCATTTTGGAAAGAGCCACTCATCTTCTCTGGAAGTGGCTGGTGTCTCCAGAGTCCTGGCATCAGGAGAGGACAGACAAGATCTCCTACCACCAACAGCCTCTTATTGTTGGTTCCAGACACGTAGCAGTACAGATGGGATATAATCAAGATCAAGTGAGGTACTAATACCACTCTATAAAGCCTTAGTAAGGCCCCACCTGGAGTACTGCATCCAGTTTTGGTCACCACACTATAAAAAAAGATGTTGAGACTCTGGAAAGAGTGCAGAGAGCAACCAGGATGGTTAGGGGACTGGAGGCTAAAACATCTGTTGAACGGTTGCAGGAACTGGGCATGGCTAGTCTAGTGAAGAACCAGGGGAGACATGATAGCAGGGTTCCAATATTTAAGGAGCTGCTAGCGAAGATGGGGGTCCAGCTATTTTCCAAAGCACCTGTAGGCCAGACAAGAAATAATGGATGGAAACTGACCAGGGAGAGATTCAACCTGGAAATAAGGAGAAATGTTCTGACAGTGAGAGGAATCAACCCATGGAACAGAAGTTGCCTTCAGAAGTTGTGGGAGGTTCATCCCTGGAAGCTTTTAAGAAGAGACTGGACTGCCATCTGTCAGAAATGGTGTAGGGTCTCCTGCTTTGGGGGTGGGGTTGTACTAGATGACCTACAAGGTCCCTTCCAACTCTGTTAATGTGTTAGATAGTCCTCAACATATGATCAATCACTTAACAACTGAAGATATGGCTCACCAGGAAAAAAAAAGATTTAGATGTTCCAATGGTTTGGCCTCCTCCAGAGTTAGGTGACTCATCTTCGGGTTATTTGTTCATAGCCACATTTATGGTCATTTGCAGCATCTTGTAGTCACATGACTGTGTTTTACCATGATTTTGGCCAAAATTAGCACATCTAATTTTTGGCAAACCCCCACACATAGTGAACCATTGATTTGCTTAACAACTGCAGCAAAAAAAGATCATATAATTGGGTCGGTCGTATTTTACAACTTTTATGACTTACGGCTCTAATGAGCAGGTTCCATTATGGTCGTATGATGAGGACTATCTGTATAGGTGGCCTGCAGCCAACTGATGCACAGGTTTGTTCTGTGCTGCCAGACCTTAGCAGTCAGTCCCACCCAACCCAACCCTGTATTACAGCCAAAGTCCTGATGGACAGTAAGTCCTGTATAGGAAAGGCTTCCCAGATCACCTGGGAAACTCACTGTGTTGGTGTTTTGGGTCCTGAGGTAGCTGACTGGGTGACAGCAGTTTAAAGAAAGCAAACCCAGGGCGACTGGAGGGAAACCACCTGCTCTGCTATTGGCTGAATTAACAGCTGGTGTTTTGTCACCCCTGTAGGCTGAATTCACGCTACGGGTTTGGCCTGCCCATACCTTTGCAGGCAAATTCCTATCAGTTCCTGGGCAACTGACATGCAATCATCCAGCCTGCTTTAAAAAGAATGCTCCATTAAAAGACTGGCGTAATCGGAGGGGGGAAGAGAGACATTGTCCAAGTACTGAGTGTTTGTCTCAGGTGCAGTCTCCACCTACCTGTCGAGAGCCTTGTGGGCCAGTTGCTCCCATATTCAGAGGCCCTGGACCGGTCATTGGACCCCTGGGGTTCGGACCAGGGCCCCTAGGCTCCATTCCTGGGCCTCTGGACTCCATGCCTCTCGGGGGTTCCATGCCCCTTGTATCCATGCCTCTCGGGGGTTCCATGCCCCGGCCATCCATGCCTCTGGGCTCCATGCCCCGGCCATCCATGCCTCTGGGCTCCATGCCTCTGGGTTCCATGCCTCTGGGTTCCATGCCCCTGGGCTCCATCCCTCTGGGCTCCATGCCCCGGCCATCCATCCCTCTGGGCTCCATCCCTCTGGGTTCCATGCCTCTGGGCTCCATCCCTCTGGGTTCCATGCCTCTGGGCTCCATGCCCCGGCCATCCATCACCCTGGGCTCCATGCCCCTTGGGTCTCTTCCACCTACATAAAAGGAAGGAAGGAAGGAAGGAAAGGAGGGAGGGAGGAAGGAAGATCTTACACAGGTTCTACTGTATGGGCAAGCTACCCAACAAGGTCAGCAAAGGACCACTCCAGCACAGCCAGACAGGCGTCTCAAAAAGGCCGCAGCCTGTTGCATTTGGAATAAGGGATGAAACTAGATTTGAATTTTGTTCTGAAAAACCCAACACTTCCTTTTGTTTCAGCTTACTATGGTACAGGGGAGTTGTATGAACCGCTTATATATTCTTGCATCTGCTAGAACAGCGTGGTGGGCTCTGTGGACCTGATGTTGCCGAGCAACAACTCCTAGCATCTGTCACTACTGGCTATGCAGGTAGGAATGACCATTCTGCAACACCTGTAAAGCCACAGGTTTTAAAAAGTATTCCTACATCCTCTTGAGCTCATCGTTTTTCTGAGGTCTTACTGGATGGCTCCATCTCTATATCCAAACCTTCATGACGCCTGCCTCCCTTTTACCTCGGCCATCCATCAAGGGCCCTCGCGGTTCTCCCATCAGGGGACGTGGCTCTCCCATTGGTCCGCCTCTCATTTCATGGGGAGGCAGCCCACGACTGTCGTGTGTGGGCATGTGGTGCATTGGTGGCCCCTGGTGGGGTGGCCCGAGATAACCTCTGCAGAAAAGGTGAGGAGGGAAGAAAGGAGACATCAGATGCCAGACTCAAGTCCCAGAGAAGCTTCCTCACCTCATAAATAAGGGGGCTCTTTGTGATGGGTGATCCAAGCCTGATTCTGGCTGGTTCAATGAACCGATAAACACAACCTGGTCTCAGTACAAGCACAATAAGTTGAGGGCCAGCTTGGAAATCTGGTGGGGAGGCTTAGAGAAGAGATTACGCTCTGCAGAAACTCTGCATAAGGACAAGGCTGCAGAAGGGAGGTAAAGAATTGGAATGAAGCTCCCGCTTGATCTCTACAATCCATCCCACTGGCGATTCCTCCGGTGAAGGGGGGGTGGGCGTGGGGAATGGAAACAAAGATAAGCTTTGCTTGCAACCTCTAATTCTCCCATTGCTAAAACCAGCCAGCTCTCTGGTCCCTTGGAAGAGGACACCTGTAGTCTCTGTTCCCACCTGCCTACCTGGGCTCCACGTCTCCAGTGACCGAGAGCAACGTGCCTCCCCGTGGGTCATTGGGGGCATCTCCCAGAAGACCTCGGGGTGGTGGCCCACTAGCTGGCATTGGCCCCCGATGCATAGGGGCTCGTGGGTCCGGCATAGGTACTGTCAAGGAGGCAAACAGAGGGCTTTGAGGGTCAGGAAGAGAAACCACTGGCAGTCCTATGATTCAGCATGTTTTGGAATTGAGGATGTGCTTCTCCATTCACGTACCCACTTTATGTAAAAGGAAGCCTACACTGGGGTGAAGCCCTGCAGAAGTTATGAATTGCTTCCCTACAGACTACGGTGCCCGTTTCACTAATCACACACATTCTGACGTATCAAGGGTAAACAGGCTTGAGAAAAGAGGCGTTGGTCTTACCCAATACGCTCCTTCTTGGTGTGCTGAGAGACAACCCAAGGAATGGGTTAACTCTGCCTGGAGACTGAGTCTGTCAATCTTCTGGTCATGCCTCCTTTGCCTAGCAGTTCCCCAGTTTTGATAAAGGCGTAGTGACTGACTAGACCGATTACTTGTGTCAAGCTTACGCAAAGGTGTCCAGTTTGTAATGTCTTACGAATGGGGATGGAGGACCCAAGTGGCTGCTCTACAGATTTCCTCAATAGAGGCCTGTGTCACTCACGCAGCTGGCGTGGCCGTGCTTTGTACCCGAGGCAAAGGAAGAGCCTGGAGTTTGTAAGCCTTGGCGATGCACACAGGTATCCATCGGCTCACAGTCAATGTTGTGACCTTGTTGCCCAGTGTATGGGGCTAGGAGGACACAGACATGGACTCTTTCTTCTCCAGAGAGGAAGTTCTCTTAATATATATGCGGAGGGCTCTCCTAACATCAAAGGTGTGCCACTTCTCTGGCAATATTATTTCCTGAGCCCTATGGAACCAGGAATTCACCTTGGGAACAAAGGAGGGGTCCAAAAACAGGACCACCTTATTAGGGTGAAATATACACAGGTCCTTTCTGACAGAGAGGGCTGGCAATTCAGAAATTTGTCTGACCGGAATGATGGCTACAAGTAAGGCGTGAGGTGAGGAAGCGCAGGCTGGCCAATTGTAGTAGCTCAAAAGGAGCCTCAGTGAGAGATTGTAAGACTTTGAGTAGGTCCCAGGTAGGGTACCTGTGCACCACCAGAGGCGTTAAGTTAGTTGCACTCCTGATAAACCTGTGCATAGTAGCGTGTTGAGCGGGGGTCTCTAGGTCTTTGCACAATAAAACCGAGGACAGGGCTGCCACTTGTCTATGAATGATATTGGGGGATAGGCCCTTGTCTAGCCCTTCCTGGAGGAATTCCAGAATCTGGGCTACTGATACAAATGTGGGGTTAATGTCCAGCTGCAAAAGGCTTTCCAAATTGCGTCATAGATCCTATTGGTAGATGGCCTCCTAGAAGCCTGGATAGTTCAAATGACCCTGGAGGAGAAATTGTCCTGGCTCAAGATCTCTGCTGAAATGCCAGATGGTCAATTGGAGCCATTGCGGGTCTGGATGGACCAAGCCCCCCCGGCTGAGGGATTCTATGCTGAGGCTGGGCCTCCATGGATGAGGCCACCAACAGGTTGACCAGGTTGGTAAGATCTCTGCTTTCTCTGCCAGCATCTTCCTGATTACCCTTGGAATGAGAAGAGGAGGAGGAGGAGGAGGAGGAAGAGGAGGAAAGGCCTTTGACCCTCCCCACCCCATGCCACAAACCTGGAGAAGAACCTGGGTAACTAGATGTTGGACTGAGCAGCAAACAGGTCCAGGACTGGGAGGCCGAAGCATTCCAATGGTTCCTTGAATAGGGTTGGATGCAGGCACCACTTTGAGTGGTCGACTATGGCTCTGGCAGTTGCTATGGGCCTTAGTGGCCATGTTGTCCGTCAGGATGAGGACATGCCAATCAGATACCATGTCCTGGAACCACCTGAGAGCCAGGTGGGCTGCCCTGAGCTCTAGCCAGTTGATATTATGCCCCAGGTCTGCCTAAGTCCACTGACCTTGTCATCAGGGACTGGAGGTGCCCCCCCCTCCCCCAGCCAAAGTCTGGCATCCATAGTGATGGTCAGGTGGTTGGGCTACTTGAAAGACACATCCTCTGGTGATGGCCCGGGACATCCACCACTGGAAGGATTGGAGCACCTGCCAAGGTCCAAGTTCTGGTGGACCTTGGCGGGTGATTTGCTCCTGCCAGACCTTTGATTAAGGCAGGAGGAACCATTGCAAGGGGCTGCCCATAGAACAATAGCTATGCAGGACACCACTTTGCCCAAGAGCTGTGAGGAGGGCCAGGGGCACTGTTCCTTCCCTCTGGATCCAATTCACCAAGGTCTTTAAGCTTGTTTGGCGCTCCTGAGAGAGACCTTACACAATATTGTGTCTATGATTGCTCCCAGGTAGAGCAATTGGTTGGTTAGACCCAGGTGGCTCTTGTCGAAGTTGATGAAAAATCTGAGGTCCTGGAGGACCTGGATTGTGACTTGCAGATCCTCCCTCCCCTGGAGACAAGAGGACTGAATCAGTATAGTGTCTAGGGTGCACTGGACACACGGGAATTGCACTGGATACCTGGAAGTGCCAGAAATTTGGTAAATGTCCTCGGCACTGAGGAAAGGCCAAATGGGAGGGTCTCGTATTGGTAATGCCGGCCCCTGTAATAGAACAGGAGGAATCGCCAGTGGGATGGTAAGATTGGCACGTGGAGGTATGCCTTCATCAGGTCTATTGATGTGAAGAAGTCGCCCTGTCGGATGCTCTCCAGTATAGACTGGAGGGACTGCATTTTGAATCTTTTGTAAATGAGATGATGGCTCAATCTCTTCAGGTCCAAAATTGCTCTCCACCCACCCGAGGTCTTTGGAAGACCACAAACAAGTAGTAGAATCCCTGCCCCGTTGGTCCTCTGGGACCCGCTGGATGGCCTGGATATCCAACACATTTTGGATTGCTGCCTCTATGAGGCCTCTTTTTGTTGTATTGTTAGATATGGGGCAACGTATAAAGAATCTCGGGGTGTGTGGAGAGAAATTTGACGGTGAGACCTAGTCTCACTGTGTTCAGGACCCAGGGGTCCATTGTGGTTGCCTCCCATTGATGGGCGAATAGGCGTAGTCGGCCACCAATGGGAGGTTCGGACCCGCAGTCCTCTGGAGCAGCGAAAGGGACGACTTCCTGTGCCACAAAATAGCCACTTGCCTTGGTAGTATTCTCGGGTCCGGAATCCATGTCTGTCTGGGTCTGGATGCCTGTCCGGATATCTGTCTGGATGCCTGTCCGGATATCTGTCTGGATGCCTGTCCGGTTGTTTGTCTGGATGCCTGTCCGGTTGTCTGTCTGGATGCCTGTCCGGTTGTCTGTCTAGGTCTGGATGCCTGTCCAGATATCTGTCTGGATGTCTGTCCGCTTGTCTGTCTGAATGCCTGTCCATTTGTATGTCTAGGTCTAGAAGCCTGTCAAGATATCTGTCTGGATGCCTGTCTGGTTGCCTGTCTAGGTCTGGATGCCTGTCCAGATATCTGTCTGGATGCCTGTCCGGCTGTCTGTCTGGATTCCTGTCTGTTTGTATGTCTAGGTCTAGAAGCCTGTCCAGCTGTCTGTCTGGATTCCTGTCCGTTTGTATGTCTAGGTCTAGAAGCCTGTCCAGCTGTCTGTCTGGATGCCTGTCTGTTTGTATGTCTAGGCCTAGAAGCCTGTCCAGTTGTCTGTCTGGATGCCTCTGTCTGTCTGGATGCCTGTCTGTTTGTATGTCTAGGTCTAGAAGCCTGTCTGGATGCCTCTGTCTGTCTGGATGCCTGTCCGTTTTTATGTCTAGGTCTAGAAGCCTGTCCAGCTGTCTGTCTAGATGCCTGTCTGTTTGTATGTCTAGGTCTAGAAGCCTGTCCAGTTGTCTGTCTGGATGCCTCTGTCTGTCTGGATGCCTGTCCGTTTGTATGTCTAGGTCTAGAAGCCTGTCCAGCTGTCTGTCTGAATGCCTGTCTGTTTGTATGTCTAGGTCTAGAAACCTGTCCAGTTGTCTGTCTGGATGCCTGTCCGTTTGTATGTCTAGGTCTAGAAGCCTGTCCAGTTGTCTGTCTGGACGCCTGTCTGGTTGTCTGTCTAGGTCTGGATGTCTGTCCGGATATCTGTCTGGGTCTGGATGCCTGTCCAGTTGTCTGTCCGGTTGCCTGTCCCATCTACTGAAATACGCTCTCTGGGGTTGAGTAGGCTCCAACTCCACGTCTGTAGGTTGAAAGGAGGAGTGCTTTGGAAAAAGGGGTGGGGGATAGGGTTTGGGTCGCTTGTGCATAGAAGGCAGGAACTTTCTCCCATCCTTAGTCTCGACTAAGAAGGGATCCAGAGCATCCCCAAACAGTTTGCTACCCTTGAAGGGAGCAACAGCCAGCTTCCACTTGTTCCTTGTAGCCGCCACCCAGGGCCGAAGCCACAGTAGGCGGCGGGCTATCACTGAGGCGGCAATGGCCCTAGAGGCAAACTTGATGGTGTTTAAGGTGGCATCAGCTGAGAATTCAGCAGCCACTATTAGTTTGTTGAGGTCTTGATGGGTTCTGACATCATCAGGTGGAACTCTCGCTTGCATCTGGTGAAGCCAAAGCAAGGTGGTTCTATTAAAAAATGAGGCGGCATTTGCAGCTTTGATTGCCCAGGCAGCTGCCTGGTGTGTCCTACGGTGGGTAGTTTCTGCCTTTTTATCCTCTCCTTTGAGGTCGTCTGCTGGGTCGGCGGGCAGGACAGTGGAGGCCATCAAAGCCGCCACTGGGGCATCCACTGCTGGTGGTTGCAGAGCCTGAGAGAGCTCTTGGTCCACATTGTAGAATTTTTTCTCATGGCAAGTTGTAATAGGGCCTACCCCCGGCAAGGTCCATTCTCGCTGGACCACATCCAGGAACAGTTTAGTTGAGGGGATTTCATCGCTTTCAATAGCAGACCCCCCACTCGTGCCCGCCAGGCCCAAAGCTGACCCTGATGCTGCTGCTGAGTCAGCTCCCAAATTGGCCGTGATCTTTGCCTTCTGGAGCAGAGTCTTAAAGACAGAAGGGCAAAAAAGCGTTGCAAAGGGCGAAACGTTCGGAGCCACCCCTTTATCCTTTGGGTCTCCATCACCGGGTAGGGAATCCTTTTTCTTGACGGGCGGGGCCTGAGAAGGTCGGGGGGCGGGAGGCAGGGAGGTCGCCGCCGCCGGGCCCCCCCCTTGCTGCTGGAGGCCTGTGGCAATCCCCTGCGCGATGGCCTGGGAGATGAGCGTCTTCAATTGCTCCGACATTTCGGGGTCTTGGTCCTCCTTGGGGCGGAGCCCCGCCGCCGTGGGGGTAAAGGTGGCCTCTGGGGCGGGCTTGGACGACGAGGAGCCCTTGGGGGGGGCTTTCCCCGCCGCCCCTCCTCCTCCTCCTCCTCCTCCTGCTGCAGGCAGAGCTTTGGGAAAGGCCTCGCCGAGCTTCGTCTGGAGAGGCAGCGAGGCCTGCTGCTCTTTGGCGCCACCTTGCGGCCAGGCTTGGGAGCCGGGCGACGGCTTGGCCTCGTGGCGCACTTCCAACGGCTGTTTTTCAAAAGGGCCACCGGAAGCGGCCGCTCCTCCCCCGGGGGGGCTCCCCTGCCCCTTCGCGGGCCTCCCGGCCGCCTCTTTTTTGTCTTCGGTCCCCGGGCGCCCGCTGGGGCCCTTCTCCTCGGCCTTAGGGGCCTTCCTGTTAGAGAAGGCCGTCCCCCGCATCCGGCCCGCCGCCCCTCTAACGGCCGCTCTAGGGCCCGAGGGGCCTTGGCCGCCGCGCCTTGGGACCTTGGCGGGGACGCCCCCGTCTTCCCCGCTCACGCCTTGCGCCTCCGGAGCCGCCATTTTCGGAGCGCCTGTGGGTGCCATATTAAGGCGGGCTCGCTCTGAGGGAGCACGGCCGCCGCCGCGGCCGAAACCGCGCTTAGGGCGCATTCGGTCGGCCTGGATTTTGCTCTAAAGTAGCCTCCGCTGTGGGCGCGGCCGGGTGGCGCTCGGCCGCCTGGCTCTGAGCCGCTTAAAGCGCGGGAACGGCAGGGACGCCCGGCTTGTTGTTTTGAGCCGGGTGAGGCGGCTTGCCTACAAGCCCGCCACGCGGATCCGCTTGTCTTACGGTACTGCCCTGGGGTTTGGGAATCCGAGGAGTTTTGACCGTTATGGCGAGCCGTTGCTTTCTCTCAGACGTCTCTGCTAGGCCACGACGGAGTACTAACCGCCAAGAAAAGGAGGCGTGGCCGGAAGCTTGACAAGACCCCGTTTCCGGGCAGATAAAGGCAGCGTTAACCCCTTCCTTGCCTTGGATTCTCTCCTGACTAGGAGTTCTTCGAACATGGCCGCTTTAAAGACTTGTGGACTTCAACTCCCAGAATTCCTCCTGCAGTCATGTTAGCACAGGGATTCTGGGAGTTGCAAGTCCACAAGTCTTAAACTAGCCAAATTGGAAGACCCTTGCAGTCTACTCAGCACTACTGGAGAAGACAAGCATGCTTCACACACATGCATAGAAGAAGAGCCAGCTTGTTTTGGTACAGAGTCACATCTGTTTTGAATGACACAAGTATAAAGGTTTTAATTTAGCTCCCCCCTGGCACTTAGGACAGTGTATTTGGGTGCACACTAAAATGGATTGAGCTTCTGCTCCTATGCATTTTAAATCAGGGGACTCCAACCTTGGCCACTTTAAGACTTGTGGATTTCAATTCCCAGAGTTCCTCAGCTGGCTATGCCAGCTGGGGAATTCTGGGAGTTGAAGTCCACACATCTTAAAGTGGCCACGGTTGATTCTGTACCCCAGCACCACATTATTTTTATAATATATGGGGAATTATCACCTAATGGACAAAAGGAGCCCCAGGGATTTATTAAACCCAGTGTTTCTTAAAACTGGGCCATTTTAAGACGTGCGGACTTTTTAACTCCTGCGGTGTAGGGAATTCTGGGAGTTGGAAGCCCACACGTCTTTAAAAAGTTGCCAGGGTTGACAAACGATGATCTAATTGCTAAGCAGGGACGGGGAGACCAAACTGCAAAGGGGAGAGAAGGAGGAAAGCACGGTTGAATAAGAAAGAAAAGATGCACGGATTGTGTTTAAGGAGACTTAGGAAGGTTTCCAAAGTTTTTGGCACCCTAATGCAGGGGACTCCAAAATTTGGCAACTTTAGGACTTGTGGACTTCAACGTCCGGAATTCCTCAGACAGCCATACTGTGTGGGAAATTCTGGGAGTTGGAAGTCCACAAGTCTTAAAGTTGCCAAGTTTGGGGACCTCTTTCCTAATGGTGAGCACAAAATATTCATTGGATGCTATCCCTCCTTTGGCTAGCTGCACTAGATGGAGACTTCCCCCTGCTTCCATAGTTAAGAGTTTAGTTTAGTTTACTGTCATTGCACCTCGTACAACAAAATTAAATACCACCTTCAGTGTACATCGTGACTATGAAAATAAACACAAACACATACCCCTTCACATTCTAGACATTGCATTGAAAACCCCTGATACTGCATTAATTCTGTTTCCTTCCAGGCCTAAAGCCACCCCTGCCGCTTCATTCGCAGCTCTACCTAATGGGAGATACACATTTTTGCGTCTTGCCCATCCTTTGCAGGGTGCCACAAGCAAGGGTGAGGCTAATGGCGGCAGCTAGTACCTTGAACACGCTCAATAGAGGCAGGCCTGGCAGGTCCCACGGGAGAGAGCTGCAGGTTTCCTGGCCGGGTAAGCAGGAAGAGAGGGAGAAAGAGCCGTCACATCAATAAGAGAGGCACCCGCCATATTGCATGCACACGCCCTCTGGTATCTCTTTGGAGAGAAGCAAGCCTTTGAAAGCAGCCCCTCACGCAGGGGGTCTAATACAGGGCTCTCCAAACTTGGCAGCTTTAAGACTTGTGGACTTCCAACTCCCAGAATTCCTCGGCCAGCTATGCCTGGAAACTCCTGCGTTAGGCCATTTGTGTAAGAGGCTGCCTTCAAAAGGCTCGCTTCTCTCCAGAGAGCCATGCTGGCTGGGGAATTCTGGGAGTTGAAGTCTACAAGCCTAGAAGTTCGGAGAGCCTTGGTCTAATAGGAAATATTAGGCGACTGCCAAGGTAAAGTCTAAGGAAGCCGGGTTGTATGGAGGAGTGGGAGAAGCTGCTTGATGAAAAATGTTAGGCAGGTTCTAATGGATGCCCTTCTTTTATGAAAGGGGCACTTTAGGGCTTGCTGGTACTTTTGAGACCGTTAGGAATGATCCCTGGCACAATTAAAAATGATGGTTTGACCTCTAAAGCTCTTAAGGGTCTAGAAATTGGGATATTAACAAGGCCTATTCCCATGCAAATTTGTCAGGGAGTCAGGTCCACCCTTATCCGATTTTTAGAGGGAAGAAATTGACTTCTTTCACAGCAGCATCAAGATGCCTGTGTCCTCGTTGGCTTTTAAACTCCGGAGAATTATTTTATTGCTGGCTTCAAACGCCATTCTACAATGGAAGAACATTTCAAGGTACTTATTGTACAGAATTGTTTTTAATGATTTGTAAGGGGCTCCGGAATGATATAGGTGGAAAATTCAACGTCACTTGGCCTGGCTGATAACAACCTTCATACATCCTAGTAAGCCATTGATTTGTCCAGGTTTTTGCTATTTAAGCACTGAGCCACAGACAAGGAGGAATTATGAACCACACGAAGGCTAATTCCATTTAGAGCCCGCTAAAGCTAAACAAACCAGGTTACAACATCATGCAATGCATAAACCCAACCAATGACTGGGGAGGAAAAAGTCCTAAATTTAGGGCAGAATTGATTTTTATTGATTGGGGTGTTTTTTTTTTTTAATGGCTGCCCATCTCACCAAGGTAGCATGGTGGTAAACTAGTAAGGAAAGCCAAAATTATGTCATGGCAGGTTTCATGGCTGGGCTAAGGGGGATCGTGACCTCATCTGTCTCCATTGCTAGAAGAACAAAGTTAAGTACTTCACCATTTTAATTTTAGGGAAATTGCAGAAATGCAAAACTTTTCAGCTCCCACCCTTGGCCACGCCTCCTCCTCCGCCAGTGTTCCTCCTCGGGCGAGTCTCCTCTGGCTTTTCTCCTTGGCTGACACGCCCCAGAGGCACCAAAATAACCCAGATGACATAAGTTCTCCTGCTGGAGCAGAGGGTTGGACTACATGACCTCCAAGGTCCCTTCCCGCCCTGGATTGCTGTGCTGTTTGTGCTGTTTCAAAGCATCCTCCGAAGCTGCCAGGTGTTTGTGGTCCTTCCTTCCTCTCCTTTTCCTCCTCCCTCCCACCCTCCATCCATATCTCGTTCACCTTCCCTTCCTCTTTCTTTCTTTCTTTCTTTCTTTCTTTCTTTCTCTTTTTCTTTCTTTCCTTCCTTCCTTCCTTCCTTCCTTCTCTCTTTCTTTTCTTTCTTTTCCCTTCCTTCCTTCTCTTTCTTGTCTCTTCTCTCTCTCCCCCTTCCCCCCTTGGATGAAGCCAGCTTACTAAACCGCCCCCCCCCCAGCTCTTCCCTTCCTTTCTTACCCTCTCCTCCCCTTCTTTCTCCTAAAAAGTGTTTGGCTTCCCTCCCCCAAACTCCACCATCAAGATCCCACTGGGGCTTCTGGCTGCCGGCACTGACAGCTAGCCGATTGGTTGGCGGCCATCTGTCCAGGGTGGCAAAAAAAAAAAAGCAGGACGAACCACGCTTGGCAAATCAGCCACGCCAAAGCGCACGGCACGGAGACGCTATGGCCCACTGCCCAGGGCGGATGGGCGGGGGAGTGTCGGCCGAGGAGAAAAGCCAGAGGAGAAATGTCCGAGGAGGAACACAGGCGGGGAGAAGGAGGCGCAGCCGAGGGGGGGACGAAAAATCCCATTCCGGAAGGGGATGCCAGAAGTAGCAGAAAGACCCACTCAGTGTGGCTGGAACTGTTTGCATGGTTTCTTAAGAGGAAGCGCCACTTCCCACAGGGATTACTTCCGAGCACACACAAAAATACAAAAAAAAAACCCCACAACAACCCGGAGGTGAGGACAGCTTCTCTTTTCTACCCAGTCATTAAGGTAAACCAGATGAATTCAAGAAAAAAAAAAATTACTGCCCATTTGTCCCAGGGATAGGACTGGAAAGAAAATGAAGAAAATAAAAATATATTGAGGGGGGAAAAAACACCACCACCACCATAAGATATTTACCTCACGGTCAGCTGGCATTGGGCAGCCCTGGTCGGGATCAGAGCTTGGTGGCTCAAGTGGGATTTTGCCAATGATCTCTTCGAGGACTTTGGGAAAAGTTAGTGGGGGGTGGGGGGGGCAGAAGGAACGTAACATTTGAGTGCAACCAGTGGAATAACATGCGGGGACGTTTCCAGTCATAGCCCTCTTTGGCCTCCATCACCAGAACAAAGCATTTCCTTGTGCAAAGAAAAGGTAATTCCCCGAAAACCAAAAAGCAGCAGCTCAAGAAAGTGGGCAGCAGCAGCAGCAACACCCTCTGCTGGCTAAACCAAAAGAAAGCAGCCGCAACTTGGTTCAAGCAACGACCCGGAAAAAGGTGGTGTGGGGAAGGGTGTCCCTGGAAGACTTTCAACCAAGGGTGGCCTATTTCCCTGTTTTCTGCATGCGAAGTACCTGATGGAGCATTACTGGGCAAAGCATCGCTCCCACTGTCCACTAAGCGCAAAGAGAAACGAAGGGACAGAGTTACAGGAAAACCTGGGAGAGCTAACACAATTGCCGCGAGGGAAGTTGGGAAAGGCAACAGACAGTCGGGAGACGCACGGTACATTTTGAAGGTGTGTGTGTGTGTGTGTGTGTGTGTGTGTAGATGCAAAGTGGGTGGAGCTGCATCATGCAAACGGTTGAGGCTTGGGAATTCTGGGGGGGGGGTTTGTTTCTTTAAAAAAATAAAAAACACACGACACTATTTCCAGGGCTTACGCTGCCTGTTTTTAAATGCTCTTCCAACTTCACAATATCCTGAAACCGTGATCCGCTAACCTGGAAGCAGAGGGAGCTTCTGGGGCTGCATAAAAAGGATGGCGGGGGCTGCAAATTTATGGCACCCTGTTTGTAGGGGAAACACACACCCCTCCCCCATCTAACAGACCCTCTCAGTCCAAATCTGTCCCTGCCCGAGCTGATAACCTTTTAGTCCCCTAAGAGATCTGAAGCAAGACTGAATGGGGCATTTACCTTGTCCGCGTTCCAAGATCATCGGGCCGCTCCCCGGCATGCTACCTGCAGGAGAACATTCGCAGAAAGGATCAGGCCGATGACGAGTCAGTGAGAACAGAAGCGCTCGGGAGGCAAACCGGCCAAGTTAATCCTCCAGATCAGAATTTCCAGAGTTTTTTTTTTCCAAGTTGCAGGAAGCGATGTAGCCTGTGCCTTAGGTCTTTTGAAAAGGAGCTGTTCGAAGCAGCCCAAACGGGACGAACACATTACAGGCCTAATTCTCGTACCATTGTGATTGAAGAGGGAAAGTTTGCAAATTAGGGATGACTCTGGCTAATCGTGATTCGAGAAATCAAGGCTGAGCAAAACCCCTAGTGTTTAACTGTTGACATTCACTTCGCTTTCCTTTGACTCAAGACAAGCGACTCAAACTAATGATTGTTATTGCACACTGCTGTTGCTTGGGGGATTTTTAATTT